TTTGATATATATTATTAAAAAAAATCCTATAAATATGTTATCCTATAATAATTTTGTAATAGATAATATAAACAATGTTACGAATCAATAGCCACTGAAAACAATTAATAATATTTTATCTTGCAATATTCTCACAATAAAAATTTTGAGCTCTAGAGGTCAGAGCACAAACATAATTATTGTTCTAACGGCACCATTAGATCAGGACGTATCCGCAATACATCATCAATAAAAGGTCAATATCATAAAGAATAGTTTAATTATATATACAGAACCCTTCTTAAAAGTTACCAATAGGTGACTTTTATGAAGGGCTCTGTATATATAATTTATTGCGCCGAAATAACTTTTACGAATACAATGCAAACTCTTCTACAATCCCTTGCGGGGAACAAATAATACTAGCCACTTTTAACTGAGATTATAAGCTCATAAGCCTAAGTTCGACGCAGAAGAAGTCAATCGGCGAATCCAACTCGGATGGCCAGCGTTCGGAAACTTCGGCAAATGTTCTCGTTGAATATACCTAAATGATTGAAGGCTAGTCTTCAACCAATCTTTGTTGCCAGTGACAACTTAAAGTCGCTCAGCGAGTTATGGAACGGGCTATACTCGGTATTTCTCTGCGTGATAAGAGTTCGCAACGAGGATATCCGCAGTAGAACAAAGTTAACAGACATATTAACTCATAATATTAGTATGCTGAAGTGGCGACGGACTGGTCATATAGCTCGTAGAACCGATAACCGTTGGGGAAGATAGGTTCTTGAGTGGCAGCCTCATACTGGCCATTGCAGTGTGGGACGACCGCACACTAGATGGAGTGACGACCTGTGCAAGTGTGCGGGAAGTCGATGGATGCAGGTGGCTCAGGATCGTACTTCGTGGCAGTCTGTGGGGGAGGCCTATGTTCAGCAGTGGACTCAAACGGGCTGAAATGATGATGATGATAGTTTACGACAGTAACTGTGGTGGGCCAAGTCTTCACTGTTACACGAATGGGAAGGTCACAGATGACCGGTGGAAAGTGGAAGTGGTACACTTCTGCGTTTCGTTGATTGAGTGCGGTACCGGCCCACTTTAATAAAATTTGGCAACGCATCTGCATTAAGTTATCATTTATGAAGTAAGGCTTATACAAAAGTTACATACAAAGCAGGATATTATAATTCTAAAGCGGGGGTAATGTTTATGATAATATAAATAAAACACTGGCCTTCAAAATATACTATAGGAGCAAGGGAATAAAAAAACGGTTTTCTAAGAATTATATCCACGACTAATTCTTGGCCTTTTCTTAAAGTTTAAAAATCTTCAGAGCAGAAATTAGATCAGGGCGCGAATCGTCAAGACGTGGATTCGATTCCCACAGTGGCAAGAAACTTTTCGTTTCTTTTTGCACAAATTTTAATCTTCAGAGCAATTTTACCCATGGGTTATTTACAACCTTTGTAAATATTGTAACAAAGTTGTCGGTTTAAAGAAGTTTATTTCTTATAAAAACTATAACAGTTTGTTTAAAATAAGATTTGAATTGAAATTTCATTACCAAATATTGTGTTTACACTTCTGGCACATGCATTTTTAAATAACATTAAAATTATTATTAGGTAGTATGAAAATTATTTTTTTTTTTACAAAGTTGTCACTTCAATAAAATTGTTTATAATGCAAGCGCGCTAGCCGACTAAAAGTTTACACCGCTGTTTGGTTCTCGGTGATCGGCACACTGATCTAATTGCAACAAGAGCTGATATAGCGGAAGGCGGCTTGTGGCATTTCCGCACATTGTGGCTGCGAACCGCGCCGAGATGCGGGACACTTGCAACACTCTTTGTTCCCAACACTGTTACTTACTGCTTACGGTACGGGCGTCTTACATTTATGTCTGCCGAGAAAATAAATAAAAAACCATTTAATCGCTTTGACATTTTATTTACAATATATTAATATTCTCTTTTTTTTTTGTTTGTTTGTTTTTTCGTATTTTTGAAATCCACATCGGTTTGAAATCAGGCACCGAAACATCCATTTCAAGCGTTTACACCTAAAATGATATTTGAAACACAAAAGACCTCACTTTTTAAGTAGACGGCGGGAACTACATACATTCGGCTATTACACACATAGGTTCACTATATTTTAACGCCTTTGGCGATAGGAGATCGACTGCGCAGTAATCTCAACAACAATATGGCTTAAGTAAACGTTTAACCTAACCTACCCTAGAACAGCGTTCAAATATAATTATTGCACAGTAAAACAACACGTATGAACAATAATTTAACGCTGTTATATTAAAACATACAACTAATAGCAATTAATAAAGCTATGAAGAAATACCGGCCGATTAAGATTTCATGGGACGAGATATTAAAAAAGAAACACGATAAACTCTTTTGATGTGCCATGTTTTAATTTTCCTCTTGAGATTGTCTGTGAGCCAGGCTTTTTTGTTCGTTTTACAAACAAACATACAATAATTCATTTTCACATTTTAAAATAATACATTTTTAAGGAAACTTGGCAGAGGGGTTTGGCTCAACAAAACTTTCAAATTTAACAAATTAACTAATATATCTAACTATAATCGTAAAAAGTGAGGTCCGCAAGTGATTTAATGAATCACAATTTATCGATTTTCTTATGTGTTGCTGTTTTTATATTTATTGATTCTATAAAGTTAACATTATTTTTTCAATTGTACTTGAAATATTCTATCGAATAAGACAGAATAGAAAACATAATATACAGTCATCTAAATATTCCCGAAAACTAAGGCGAACACAAATAAATCAAGTTTATTCACGCAAACACCCTTGTAGTAATTTCCTCTCGACTAATAGCTCTTCAGACTTCTTGTAATTTTTATTTATATAATAATACTTTATATACCTGGTCAAAAATTCACTTGATTTAAAAATGTCCCATCAAACATTTCAAATCCACTATTTCAGCGATTTCACTAAAATTTAAAAGCACGTAAGTTTACTTGCCAAATAACATCAGATTCGTCATTCTAATAATTATTACGTTTTTCAAAAACTTGCACTAGTTTCGAAACTACGGCTGCAATGAGCCGCAAACGTATTCATTTAAAGACAAATATAAAATACTGTACCAAGCAAAATGTAAAGCATCAATATAAAAACTTCAAGAGTGTATTTGATAAAAATGTAATATAATTTCATTCTATTGGCATTTACCTAAATCGTTAGCCACATACTGGATTAAGTCTGAGGACAGTTCGAAAAACTGGTGTTTATTTTTAGTTAAGTGGAAATCTCAACACCAAGGCGCTTGAAAAAAAATTTTGAAAGGAAACATTCACACCTTCGTTGCACAATTAAAATTTATAAGTAGGTGTTAATTGTTAGTCAATCTAATACTATTTGTGTTTTAATAGACAAACATAGAAAGCTGTGTTTTATTAAATTTGGCTTAAAATTACTCAGCAAAGACGAACGGCATACTATTTTATTTGATTTAACATAAACATCTTATATCATATGACAAAGAGGCAAAACACTCATTATATTAGTAATTTCGAACTCTACCTAGAATCGTTATATAGTTTCTATTAAATGAAATTATGTTTAATTGAATACAGTGTTATGAAAATTATGGAAATTGGAAATCGAAATATTATCGGTGGGATTTTAATCGTGAACTGTGATAGAGATTAAGCGAAAGTGAAAAAATAATACATAAACGGAAGTAATTTATGGCTATGAGGAATTTACACTATTGATCAAAAACCGTAACGAAATATGAATCTACAAGAGGGCTTGTTTGCGTGAAACTAGTAACAGACAACAAGACGCAGTTTTCAAAGTTTTTCGTAGTTAGTACTATAATATCCTAAAAATTGTTAAATCGTGTGAATTGGCAGAAAATAATACCTCATCTCATTAAAACAATATGATGGGATGAATGAGACACTGATGTGCGATGATGAAAACATTTAGTAATAACTAATAGGATAACAAGAGAATTTGTCGTGCCTATCGAGCGAATTTGAAAAATTTGTTCGCGGCGAATAAAAGTAGTAAAAAAATATTTTTTTATTTACTCGAGATAAAAACAGTCTTTATAATTAATAAATCAAATTACAAGTAATATATATACATATATATATATATATACCACTGAAACTTTTTCAAATTCAAATACTAGATAGGCACTGATTTTCATAATAAGTACTATTAGGGCCAGTACATACTGTGCGATCCAAACGAGTAAGACACGTCAACTTGTTGCAAATTTATTGTCATTTACATCTGTTTCCTTAATTTTCCCTTTACTTCCTAGACTGCAGTATTCGTCCTAGCAACTGACCAGGTCGAATTGAAATCTGAAATTCACAATTTCACTGCACCTCGGCGCACAGTATGTACGCAGCCTTAGACAGCTGACGCCGGAGAGGATAAGTTTTTATGGAAGGACGCCCGTGTTCGGTCGACCTGATAATTAGATACCGTGTCCAGAGCGCTGTTGTTTGGATCGCTCAATGAGTGATGAACGATCAATCTGTTCGAAAGAGCGTTGTCACGAGCACGGATTATATCAATGTGTAGGCTCAATGTTTCGCACTGTGTCGGATCATTGTGTCGCATCACTGTCAGCTGACTGTGTCGGATCACAGTGTCGAATCATTGTGTCGACTCAATGTGTCGGATCACTGTGCAAGATCGCTGTGTCGAGTCATTGTGTCGGCTCAATGTGTCAGCTCGCTGTGTCGGATCACACTGTCGAATCATTGTGTCGGCTCAATGTGTCCGATCGCTGTGTCAGCTCGCTGTGTCGAGTCGTGTGTCGGCTCAATGAGTCGGATCACTGTGTCGGATCATTGTTTTGGCTTAATATGTCGGATCGCTGTGTCGACGCAATGTGTCGGATCATTGTTTTGGCTTAATATGTCGGATCGCTGTGTCGACGCAATGTGTCGGATCACTGACGGATGGGGGGGGGGGGGTCCGTGAATTGGCGTTAGGGGATCAGGTGAGCCGGCACGAAGGCAGCCGCCCGCACGACGAGTGCCACCGCCTCTTGCACTGATTCGACTCGCCGTCCGATAGCTCCGCCGTCGACATCGTCCTCGAGCCGTTGTCGCCCATATCTAGAAATACGAACACGTTTTAATGTCTTTTCTTTTTTTTAAATGTAAAACTTGCTTTTTATTAAAAAAAAACGTTGCCCTCACTTTAAGATAATCATATCCTGTATTGTAAAGACGTTTTACAAACATAAATTACAACACAACATTTTTTGCACAAAAACCCAGGTGCGAAACAGCTATCTGTGCGTCTCACAAATAGTTGTCCCGTGTGGGAATCGAACCCACGACCCCCGACGCTGAAGTCGACGCTCAAGTACTTTGCCAACTGCGCCACAGAGTCATCTCGTTCGAAACGAGAATTAACAGCTGATTTGTTAATATTTTATTTTTGTTGCTAAGGGACACGGTACAAGTATTTGTGTCGTACATAATTATTCCTAATCTAGGTGTTTATTCCCAAAGAGGGTTGACGTCGGGCACTCCTAGTCATACAAAAACTAACCAATACCGTTAACAATATAATTCACATGTCGTGCCAACTCCACCTAGGTGGGATAAGGACAGGAGAAATCGTGTGCTAGGTTGATGCTGGCGTATAGGTATTGCGTTTGTCACGCCGTTTGGCCCTCCACACACACACACACTTGTTTGTTTGACTATGTCGGTATACATATTTTTTTTCTTAAGATACGCGTGTACATTTCCTAATAGTAAAATTTCTCTGCGTTTAAAAATAAAATAAAACTCAAAAATCAAAAGGTCGGCTTTGTAAATCTGTTCCCGCAGATATGAAAGTCGTTTCACGCAAAAGGGAACCGAAGAAATATAAGAACAAAAAACTAAGTAATCATTGAGCGATTGGAATGAAGTGGATTTATTTTAATTTCGGAAATATATTATATACCCTGTATTATATTACTTGAATGACTTAAAGATAGCCGAGGCATAAAAGGTTCGAAAATGGGCGCAAACATTGTCTCCGACTTCGTACGTTGCTTTGTTTGGTACCTCTACCGCACGTATTCTACTTATAAAGATTGACGAAACCAAAGTCAATTAAGCAAATGCATCAAGCACAATCACCTTACACTAATTATCGTCAAGAGATAATTTTCCGCGAGCGCGCACTCTCAAATGCGAGTCCCCTCGTTCGCCTCGATATTATTAAATGTCAACAGTTCGATTGCGAGCCGGCTGTTGGTAAACATCGCGTACATTTACCCGACCGCGTCGCCGATTAAAGTAATTAGTCGCGACTGCGGCTACGAGCGAAGGAAAACTGTGCACGATATTAACATAGCATACAATAAAATAAACAAGGCTATTTACTTTATGAACTACAGCTAGGGGGAAGGAGTGAACAACAAACAATACTCATATTGTTTGTTGTTCATCACACCGCTTAGGGACCTGTAAGTGCCTATTCTTATCTTCGCTGATGCAAGGAAATTCACGGTTCTCGGTGACCACCACTCAGCTCCGACGTAATGGAAAATATATGCAAAACTTCCGTCGCTGTCTGTTAAGTGCTTACTAGCTCAAATACCAGATTTATATAGTGTTATATATTAGTCCAGTGTAATATATAACACAGTTATTATTAAATTTGATTCCAAAGTGATGGTGATGTGGCAGTCGATTTATTTATTAGAACAATTTAAATGTTTTTATTCAAAAAAATTATCAAATTTCAAATTCTTTAGGTTTCACAATATTCACTCTTCTTCTTCATCGCTAAGCGGCAATTTAGAGTTCAATTTCGGAACGTTAGGTGTTTGGAATAGTCTGCTGGGTTCACGGGCATTTATAAATACATTTTGTAGCGTTAGTTGGATATTTGGAAACATTAACTATTTAGTATTAACTAATAACTATTACGTATTAACAGCTTGAAAATGAGAAAGCCTGGCCCGCTTTTACGAAATCCCGATAGTATCGTCACTCCATGCAACAAACCTAACTCAAGGAGCATATTCGGGCCCGAACTTGTCCCACAACGAGTATTTGCTCGGGCTCTGCAAAGAAAACAACCCACAATCAGAATTCCACACATTTTCCCAAATGTAACAGAAGTACGTGTTTGGGAGGTATTCAAATTTACGTAAACTCTCTTCATTAATAAATGTGCCTGAACTTATCTTACTTGTAACTTATCTTAATAAATCTTCATGAACTTTATCGTTGTTCTAATGCCTTAAGAGCAATATTTACCTTGCCACACACAAAATAATGAACTTAATTAAATTTATGAATTATTGAAAAAATTAAAAAGCCAAGTCATTCAAATTGCGAACACACTAACAGACATCAATTAGCGCTGATCTATCACTAAATTCGATTAGTCGTCGGATGGAATCTCATATGTAACTTAAATATGAAATGCTAATGTTAACACGTATATGGTCATACGGAAATAAATATGACACTCACTCATAAGTTATATTAATTGTTCATCAGCTGAATAAAAATAAATACATGACTCTGCAAAAGGTTGTAGTAAAAAAGAAGGTGTAAGTAAAAAAGTTGCAAATGCAGCATAGAAACAACTCATTGCATCAAATTTTAATGATTGATAAAATAATTAAAATTAAGTTTTTCTCAGATGACACTGGCATGAAACGTTCGATATCAAAATTCTTTAATCGCACTTAATCGCCTTATTGTTCACATGTACGCTGCTGTATGGCCCTACGGTGGTAGGGCCACACAGCAGCCTCGACTGTTGCACGATGGGCAGGCCCGTCCGGGTAAGTACCACGACCTCACAGAAGACCGGCGTAAAGTAGAAGTATGACAAATACTTTCGCGTTTCGTCTGGTGAGTGAGGTAGCCGGAGCCCAATTTTCAAAAGGTTGTCAACGCATCTGTAACCCTCGGGTGTGGCAGATGTCCATGGGCGGCGGTATTCACTTAACATCAGGCGAACCGTCTGCTCGTTTGACAACTTTTCGCATAAAAAAAAATGTAGCATTTCGATTCTAATCCTATCGTATCAGCTACTAGGCCCATTACATCAACATCGTTCTGGGAAAGGGACAGTTGTCCATCCTAGTTATTATTTCTATCTCTTATTACGAAATAAACTGCTTTTGTTTGGAAAATAGCCATGGGAATGAAAATAGCTACTCGATAGAAAAGTTTTCAACATAGTATAAGCAGTCTATTATTTAATTTTAAGGTAACAGCATTTATTGCATAATATGCAAAAAAACTCGTCGGGGTGGCAATTAGCCGTTTAGCTTAGCCGATAGAGCGTCTCGGCCCGAATACGAAATGCGTGGGTTCGATTCCCGCAGCAACGATAAACTTTTCGTCGATTAGCACTAAAATTTTTAATTTCATAAATTACCTAAATATTATCAATTTTTCTAAGTTCAAAGACCATATATCATATCATATTCATTACGTTGAAAAAAGTAATTTCTTCTTGTTTTACCGTTTGAATCTAAAATATAAAAGACAAAGAAAATCGTGACGAAGACCTTCAGACAAACTCCCGACAAGGCGCCATTTTTTAATTCTCACTTTTTATCCGATTCAGGCACAATGTCAACGGTAAACATTGAGGTCATGACGACATAAAACGTAACCTAATATCATACCGAATACAAAAATCAAGCACTATTATGTCTGTTAAACTTTTTAATTCTTATTCTTATTCGTTTATTCTCTCCCTTAAGCGACACTATTTCATCTATACCGATTGTATGTTACCGAAAGGATACTACCAAAAACAATATATGAAACTCCGTTAGTGACAGATATTTATCTTAATGGCAAGATGAATTATTTGAGGATCTGTAACTAGCCAATCGATCATATAAATATTAACTAATTTGAATATCGATTAAGGAATAAACGCATTTTATTCTAAAAAAAAAGATGTTTGGTGTTTACTATTTCTTAAAAAAAGGATTCCTCCCGTCTGAAGTACCACGACCTCACAGAAGACCGTGACGTGGTAAAGTCGTACTTCTTGGTATCCTCTACTGAGCGAGGTAGTCGGGGGCCACTTTAATAAAAGGGAACAACGCATCTGCAACCCGGTAGGGCGGTAGGGCCACGCAGCAGCCTCGGCACTGTTGCACGAATGGGCAGGGTAAGTCCGGGTAAGAACCACGACCTCACAGAAGGCCAGCGTAAAGTGGAAGTATGACAAATACTTTCGCGTTTCGTCTGGTGAGTGAGGTAGCCTGAACCCAATTTTCAAAAGGTATGGCAGATGTCCATGGGCGGCTGTATTCACTTACCATCAGGTGGACCGTCTGCTCGTTTGGCAACTTTTCACATAAAAAAACCACGGGTGTTGCAAACGTCCATGGGATGCGGTTATAGAACATCAGGTGAACCGACATCTCGCTTGCCATCTTCACTACACATTGTATAAAACAAAATCGCGCCGCTGTCTGTCTGTCTCTATGTATGCTTAGATCTTTAAAACCACGCAACGGATCTTGATGCGGATTTTTTTACTAGATAGAGTGATTCAAGAGGAAGGTTTATATTTACATGATACATTGCACCCGTGCGAAGCCGGGACGGGTCGCTAGTCTTACATAAATAAAAAACTATCAAGGGCCTTGAACAATACGCACCGCGCCTCAGATCCCTCTCGGTGAAGTATTCTTGAGCGGAGGCGTAGTGGCGCTCGACGAGGTAAGGTATTACGGTAGAGTTGTGGTGCTCATCCGATCGCCGGGATCGCGGGTTCACCAGGCGCTCGCCTGCCTCCAGGGCGGGCGTAGCCTGCACCCAGCTGCGATCACAACATTCCACTGGATAAATTAAAGGGTTAATTATCAATAATCTAAGTCATAGAGTGAAAAAAGTATAGTAGCAGCCTATATATTTCTCACTGCTGGGCAAAGGCCTCCTCTGTAAAGAGGGTATCAGGGCATAGTCCACCACGCGACCCAATTGCGGATAGGCGGACTTCACATATCTTCGAAATATATTTTTGCTATTATTTCGATAATAAATGCAGGTTTCACGATGTTTCCATCACCGTTGAAAAATTGTTGTCAGGTATCTTATTTTGAAGAATCCCGTTTTTTTTTTTTTTCAGTCTAGTTTGTTACCTTTCATTTAAACAAATAGTCCACAGAACGCATTATCATACATACTTTATATTTTTAAACGATTTTTTTTTTATTAAAACATTAACTATATTGTTCTTATCTATAGAGTCAAAATCGGAAAACATAAGGTTTAAAATGGTGTTTAAATCATGAAATGTCATGAATAAATATGGAAGTAATGGGGTACCGACAAAAAACATATTTGAGAAATAATACCAAGTGATGATTAACAATAGTTGACAACAACTACATGGTCTCCGTTTCTAGTTGGCGTTTTGCAATAGTAGTTTAATAATACTTATCTCTATATACTTGACACACGCCTTAGATATACAGGTCTCAATCAGATTTTACTACCTGTAATATATCATAGCGTGAAGCCACGCAGCAGCTTTTACTGCAGCACAGAAAACCGTCCTAACGTGAAAATACAAAACTTTCGCTTTATATAAGTTGGAAACGTAATTGCAATCCCGCAGTAGTTGTAAATGTTCATGGGTGGGGGTAATCCCGTAATATTAGGTTAAAAGGCCTTGCTAACTTTTCACATTAAGTTAGAGAAAATGTCCTCCCAAAGTTGAATTAAAGTAATCTATCATATACAAAAATCATATATCATATACTTAACGCGTTAAAATGGTATCGATTGTGACCGACAATAAATTGACGTTCAAAAACTGGATAAATTGTATCTAAGCCTTTTTTGTTTCATGTCATAAATAATATAAAAAAAAACTGAAACTGACATTATACTATTATTCATTTTACATACATCCATGCAGCTTTGGTGGGGGGGGGGGGGGGGGGGGGGGGGGGGGTGTCACATAGTCGTGGTCAAGTGATAAGAAGTTTTAATTTAATTTTTAAAATCATAGATACAAGTAAAAACTAGGTATTTTAACCGACTTCAAAAAGAAGGAGGTTAACAATTCGGATGTTTAAATTTTTTTATGTATATTCGGGCATAACTTCGTCGTATATAGACGGATTTGCAAAATTCTTTTTGCAAATCCGTCTATATAGTTTTATACTCTATATAGTATATATTTTTTTGTTCGAAAGGGTTTCATTCCGAAATGGTCCCATATAAATTTCATATAGATCTGATGATCATTTTCGGAGATAGCAAAGGAACTCTTCGAAATCTGACAGGAAATCAACCGTGTTTTCTATCGCATAAATATGCATTGTTTTGCATGTAGCGTTGTAATACTTACGTACATAAATTAAGTCGGTTCTTTTATTTTTTTTATATTAATACGTTAAAAAAACCGACTTCAAAAATTAAAGGTACAAAATAACTTAATAAAGTACTTGTATGTGCTACTTATTGATAGGTTTGAAGTCGTAATTTATTAATATTAAAGGTATTAGGTTTGCATGAGAGGTTATTTTATACCTTTTAGTTTTTGAAGTCGGTTTTTTTAAACGTAGTTTTTTTTATTTTTAGTGTCTGTAATCGGTTATTCTATAAACTAGAGTAGAATTTTTCTAGATTACATCAGGTAAACTAGAACATTTCGTTGCTTTTTATTATCATTATATAAAATAGTATTTTTAAGTAGCTATTGGTAGGCTTACTTATTTTTGAAATTTATTTTTATTTATTTCTTCGTTACCAGATTTTATGTAGTCGTATTGGTTATAATATTTTTTAATTTCACACTGGCTCCACTTCAGCGACAAGTAGCCTAAGACTACTTGTCGGGATAGAGGTTAATAATAATATATAATCAACCCAAATGAAAACTCCTAAAATAGCCGTACACATACTAAAATTATATCTTTCACGTTTAAAAAAATGTTCATAAATAACAAAAAAAAATATTTATTCAGTCATTAATTCATTCATTCATAATATTCAGCGCTCACCTATCTAATCAAAGACAGAATCCACATTCATAATAAACGGAACAAACAAATTTTATTTCCCAAAGATTCGATGTCGCATACTCACGTCCACTAAACCACCACCGCTCACCTCCCATCAAAAACGGTCCACCCATTAAGACGAATCAAACTCGACGCAGTTGTGTTCTTTAATTACTGAGTTCCTTTGGCCACATTCCAGCTCTGTCATCAGACAATGGTTACCATGTAACACCAAAGAGCTCGTCAAGACGAATCAAATGAGCCCAAACACAATAGGGTTGCGTAGTTTCTTTACTAAGTTCATATGACCACCTTCCAGCCCATCATCAGTTCAGACCCTGGTAACCATCTAAAACTAAAGTACTCGCAAAGACAAATCAAACGAGCCGACACTCGATTGGATTGAGTCGTTTCAATCTTCCAGCTGGAAGGTGGTCATAGGAACCTCACAGAATAGCCTCATAGACCTCACAGAAGATCGGCGTAAAGTGCTTCTGCGTTTTGTCTGGTTAGTGAGGTAGCCGGGGCCCACTTTATTATAAGGGAGAAACGCATCTACAACCCTATGCATTTGTCCATGGACGGCTGAAGAAGGAGCTCCATCATCCGATCCTGGTTACCAATGAAAGACAAACTACTCATCAATACGATTCAAATATGCCCAAACGCGATGAGGCTCTGTCGTTTCATTGCGAAGTTCTTTTGGCCACCTTCCAGCACCATCATCAGATCAGCACCATGTCATAATAATATTGCATTGTCTCGCAATTTACACATGTATACAAAATTTCAGCTCAACCGGTAACCGAGAAGTGGATCTAGTTTAATTTGCAAGATTTGATGACAAACATTAAAATATTGTAAAAATGTGCATAAAATGAAAACTACTTGGCCAAACTATGGTAAATTTTTATGGGACCAAATCGCAACTATTCTGCATCGATCTAAAGAAGAATCACGTAAATCGGATCATAAATCTCAATGATCGTAATCGGTGTACATACATCGAAAAAAAAAATATACCAATCGAATTGAGAAACTCCCCCTTTTGAAGTCGGTTAAAAATATTATATTAAATTAATTCAATATTGAAGGTAACTGCTTAAAATCTATATTGTGGCAAAAAATATATAAAAACATTATGTTTAACAATTTTAATTAGTGGTCCACCTAGGTCCTGGTCCCAGCCCAGGGGGGGGGGGGGTCATGACCCCCATGACCCCCCCCCCCCTGGATCTGCCCTTGCATCCATGCTTAGTAATGTATGCACATTATAAGTATAGCATAAGTTTCATATATAGCTGCCCGTGACAAAAATAAAGTTGTGCGTCAATTCGATAGTTCCTGAAGTTTATCCTTCAAACTTAAAATATCGCGTTACTGGGAATGTTCAGTATTAACATAGGAATTGGTAATAAGATCAATTTTAAATAAGTATAATTAGTAAAATAAAATAATGCAATCTTTCATTAACATTACTTAACAGATTTTCTCAGTAGAATGTTGGCTAGTGATTTATATATTAAGCCTGTGAGTGATTTAAACGTTTTAATGTTGTAATTTATGCAGTTGTTTGTGTATTTGCAAAGACAATGAAAAGCCAAGATGGCATATTGTTTATGAAGGGATAATAATGTACTCCGAAGATAAGGTAACGGTTAGTCCTTGGGTAGATTAATTCTGCTTAAGTGCGCTATTTAAGACTAAGGACGAAATGCATGTCAAGTAGATTTAATAATTGTGAAGTTAATTAAAGATTTAATACTTATGAAATGATTTAATAACTGTTTCGCTTGAAATACTCATATTATCTTAATACTTACATAACACACGAAGTTTTTGAATATTTATGTCAATATTAATTACTAAGGCAGAATTAAATAAGCCTGCGTTGTTGAGGCGTTTTATGAACACAATTAAATAAGATTTTTCATTAACTTTTAACCACGAAGATCCAGAACAATCATCTTTAGGTCATGGTCAACACCAGTAGTAATCGAACCTACCGATTATCAAATGCGCCAACTAGTTGTCTATGTAAATATTTACGATTCAGACTATTTTTGCACCTTTGAACGTTAAAATTTACTAGTTCAAAAATTTTTAACGACCCAGGAAAGGGCCACCAAGAAACTTATGAACAAAAAAATATGATTTCTTTTCCTTCAATAACTATATTGCATAGGGATATGCGAGCGCTGAGGAAGATTCGTTTTCTCACACATCATTGTCCCCGATGTATTTTTCAAATAAAACCAACATTTTAAAGAGTTTCCTTTGATTGTCCCGTGTGGTAATCGAATCCACGACCTTCAAGCCGAAGCTAATAGCTTAGCATCTGTGCCACCGAGTCATCCTACAAAAATAATTGTCATTGAAAATGAGGTTTACTTTTATACATCAGTTTGTATTAAAAAGTGTTTTGACAATTCAACAAGTATTTTTACAAACACTCGGCAACACAAACATTTGTTTGGCAAACGGGCGAGTTAGTTAATCCTTGTTTGCAGACTTCTGTTGAACGAAATTCTCGGTAATAATAAGTAATAATTCAATAAGTAATAAGCTCAGTAATAATTCAACGATAGACGCGTTATTTTACCTGTTCCGCGTTGGCACTGGCACTCGTATCTATTGTTTACTATATTGGCGTCGCTCGAACATTATATGGATGATTCATCAAACAGTTGATTCTAGCGATTTGGATGAACTGACCACGCAATAAATTATCTGATCACCTAGATGAGTTCGATATCCAGGAAGGCCAAAAATACGTGCAATTTGCCTTGCACTTTTAAAATTAATTCTCTGACTGCAGTCGATAATCGTAAAATTTCGTACGTTGTCGTTCGTATACGAATATCAAATTATTGTATTTATTAAAATTTGCCCAGAACATTTCCCCAGCCACGCCTTTTGGGCCGTATATGGCCGGTTGCCTGTTTCTGGCCTTGTGTGCTGGTTTGTGAGTTGGATAGCCAGTATGTCATTTTTACAAGAACGAAGCGATTCGCTTCGTTCTTGTAAATCGGAACATCTACAAATCATCCGTACAGCTAGGGAACGGAACAACCAGCCGGCGTCCGTCTTTCCGTCCGAATACAACGTAGGCGTCTTCAAGGCAAGAGTGAATACGTTTTCACTGAGTGAGTTGGAAACTGAAATCAAACGCTGGCCAGTTTCGAATTAAAAAAAAAATGTCGCCGGCGCCAGTGACGGTTTGCGCCATGGCTGCATCGCCACTTACAATGAGGTGGCAGTCGAGCGCTGGCCAGTTTCGAATTTTAAAAAAAAATGACGGCGACTGTGTGCGTGAGAAGAAAAAAAAAGTAGCTCACGCGTGCCGCCGTATCTGCTGGACGTCGGGCCTCAGCGCGGGGTCCCTGCTGAGCATCGTGGTGAGCAGCGAATGGAGCGCGGGGCCGAGGTGGCTGGGGGGCGGCGTCGGCTCGCCCCGTCCGATCGCCTCCAGCAGCCGGAACACGTTGTCCCCCTCGAACGGGTAGCGGCCCGTGGTCATATTGTATCTGTGGACGGATCGAGCCTGAATGCGGTCCTGTGGTCTCGGTTGTCAGAAAAAAATGCCGGTATCACTAATGACGAATAGTCTTACTAGTCCGCGTGGTGAACTACGCCTGAGGAGGCATTTTCCCAGCAGTGCGACATAATATATAGCCTGTTACTTTACTTTGCTATATTGAGAAATCCGAAGACGATACAATGTAATTATAAACACAGCCCCGTAAAACTTTGACCGGAAACAGGATATAGTGAAGTAAACAAACGTCATAAAGTTTATGACATGACGAGAAACCTGAGCTCTAATTGAATTCCCCACAAACTAGTAAAATTAAGTATGGAGGTGCAACATTCCAAAATAAACCAATATTTTAATAATTACAAACTTCAATAGCGGACGTCAGTAAACAGATAAGCATAGCCGTAGATCAGGAAAATCTTTAGTGAGAGAATGCCTGTCCTATTGCCTTACATAAAGGCTCTCCCAAAGGCGGCTTCTCCCAAAAAACGAACTGCCAAAGAGTGGCGACGTTGAAGATGTTTATATAAAAGTGACCAATAATAAAAACATCGTTTGTTATTGTTATTGGAACTTTAAATTAATAATTACTGGAGACAACATTTGTACAATGTATTATTTTGTCGGCAAAACAAATACATTTTATCGTTGACATTTAGGTTCATTGCTATTCTCAGCTAAGGAGACAAGTTATTTTAAGTAGGCAATAAAGCATACTAAAAACATGATTAAATGCAGTCATGTCAGATTAACATTATTAATTGATGACAACAGCAAGGTTTAATAAAGGGAATAGTTCACATCACATTATTAGAATCTGAAATGAACTCCATGCCTGTCATGACATGCAGACCATGCTGGATATATTATTATTAGTAAGAAACTCAAGAAAAAATTGTTTAATAAATAAATAAATTATGTTTATTTTTGATGATAGAAAGGACTGATATTAAATAATTTACCACACCTTATGGTCATCTATACCACTCCTAGCATAGTGTAGCTGCAGTGCTAACCTTTCAGAGTAATGGCTTCAACTGACCAAACTCACAAGAAAAAATAATATCAGCAAAGAGTTGGACAGTCCATGTACTTTCTTAAAAAGCATTAACTTTCTTTAGTTAAAACAACACTACACTACACTAAAACACTACACTAATATGTAAATCTTAAATAAGAAATTAGTCTTTTAAATTATAATTTCAATATAAAATGAAATTTGAATTAACACTAAGAAATTATCATTTAGCAAAGGGGAAATTTATCTATTTTTGTTTATAGAATTTATGCGAAATAAACATTCCATAATATTTACGAGAGGGCAAAGCTTGCTCGTAATTTAAACTAATACCTTAAATGCACGGTGTCCATCAATTTTAAACTCATAGTTCACAAATTTATTGGCTTTGTGGAAAAATTATAGAACCAGTTAACTGATCTCAATATAAATGTTGGGTATTTATCACACTTTTAGATATTAGATCAGTGTTTCTCAAACTTTTTTGGTGGTTGTTTATGTCACAACTGATTTACAACATAGTGATTAACTTTCCATCCCTCACTGATTTTAATTTAGCACCCCCAATACTGTTTAAAGTTTTAATCCTCAGATAGCCTCAGCACCCACTTTGTGAACCATTGTATGGTATTGAGGAAACAATAATGCACCAACTGATAAAATGAAAAAATATTGATTTTCAAAAAAAATTTGATTTTAAAAAAATGTTTCATGTAATATATAAGCAATAATTGTACAAACTTTAAAACTGCTTCAAGAAATAATGACTCATCGAACTTGACCCCTGTGACATATGATTCACTGACAAGAACATACTGAATGAAACAACTGAACTGAATGCAAAAAGACCTTTGTACAGCATGATACACAAAGCAAGCAGATCTATAACAGTTTTGTACAAATAAATTTGAATAATTTACATTAAAATGTCCTTTTGTATATGAGGAAACAGTGCATTCACATAAAAGCTATAGTGTTAATTAGATATGAGTTATCCATCATATTTACAATGTGACTCCGCTACTCCAAATGTCAACTTTGGTCCCAGAAAAACGCTCAGCTCCATTAGCAATCTCCGGAGGTTGAAAAGCTGGAGATCCTTGACCAGTGTAGCATGTATCTTCAGGAGAAAACATATCTAATGCCTGCAAAAAATTAAAGAACCATTTAATTCCCTCTTTCTCCTTTAACATATAAATGTAAATAATGTGTTAATTTGTAGCCTTTAGTCTAAGGCGTAAGAATGAACTTTAAATAAATAAATGAAATGACCAATGCAAATATGGGATTGAAAGATATGGTACCTATTTGACCTACTGACTATATTCAACTGCATGCTATACTGAATTAAATAGCTGGACCTTAGTGCTAGACTTTTAAATCATTATATTTGCAACCCAGAATTGCTGCCACTCTGGTGGTATCTATAAGTAAAAAACCCGAAGTGTGAATCAAATTTGCGCATGGAGGGTTCCATACCATTATCAATAAAAACGGCAAAGAAATCATGTCTGTTGTATGGGAGCACTTAATACTTTTTTATTCTATTTTTTAGTATTACATCAGTGTATTAGCTATTAGAACATTTTGACCCTTACCCTGAGGTTCTAATAGCTTCTATATTAAGGGACTATGTCCAGTAGTGGAGCACTTAACTGTTTACCAGGGTTGACAAAGAAGGTTCTGAATTCAATTTCATTGTAAGGCTATTTACTTTTAAATTATAGATATAAGTGACTAGTCTAAAGCTGAGTATATAAAGTAGTACAAGGCAATTCACATACCTCTGCCACACCAAAATCCGTAATTTTAAGTGTTTGGTCTAAAGTTAATAGCAAATTTCCAGGTTTAATATCCTTGTGAACAACTCCTTGTCCATGGAGATATTCTAAACCATCAAGCAGCTGAGTAAAGTAATCATGTGCTTGCCGCTGTGGGAATTTTTTTCCAGGACTGGCTTCCAACATATCCTACAAAAATATAAATATGGACATGCACATTAATGTAAGTTGCATAGGCCTCCTAACATCAGAACATGAAAGAAACAGAGACAAAACAATGCAGGGTGAGAGTCAAGGGCACCTTGAGAAACATCATGAATACTAGTTGAAAGTTTACCTGAAGCACACCCACACAAAACTCCATAACTAGGTACATTTTTTGTTTCTCATCATTATACATAACATCGACTAGTTCTATCACATTTTTATGCCTAAGAATATGCAGCAGTTGAATTTCTTTTTGCACATTCTGTTCACCGTTGGGTATCCGTCGGAGTTTCCTCTTCTTTAATATTTTTACTGCCCGCCTACATAGTGACTCTGAATCCAACATTTCTTTTACTTTTCCATATGAACCTTCGCCTAACACGTCACCCATAACATATTTGCCAACCATTTTACATTTTTTCTTTTTGTTTCTATATATTATATCTGCACTATCCACTCTATGAAAAAATAGGTTATTTTGGTCTAAATTAATATCTAACTCGTCGATCTGATCATCGTCTAGCCATGTCACAGAGTGTTGTTCCGGGCTGCCGTCTAGCAGAAAATTATCATCACTTTCTTGAGGCGCGATAATATTTGAACTCTCAAACTCAACAGTCTCTGCATCTGGAAGACTTTCACTACTGCTGATTTGCCTGCACATTCTTGGATCCATTATCTATCAAAACAATACATTTGGAAAACTATCAGTAAATCTGTTTATTACAATGGCTCCCGCCGTGAAAACTACGATAAATATAAAATAAATTTACACATTTCTCAAAATATATATTGTCCACACATTGTAGACTAAAGATTTTTATAAAAATTATGCTTTTATTTGCAAAGATTGAAGGTAAATAAATTTAAGAATCCAGAATTGAAACATCGTAATGAGACTACAGATAAAGCAAAACGCAACAAATTAACAGATTAAGTGTCATTACGTACGAGTTAACACATGTAATAAAAAATGGGCACATGGGAATTTCTACTTCTTTGGCATTATTAAAAAATAGTTTTTAATTGCATGTAAATAATTACGTACAATAAAATAATAAAAGGACTGGAAAAGGACATAAATAGTAACATTATGAAAGCGCCATCTACATTCTTTATTGGGAACTGTAAAGGGCGAATGTGATTGAAAATATAATGCCGTCTATAAAAAAAATAAGTGGTTTGGCGGGCACTGTTTCAAAGGTGTTTCATTTGTGTTACAGTGATGCGCGTGCATCTTAAAATTTGATTCATAATTTTTTCATAACGCGCCTTAACTTTAGTATACTGTTAGCCCGGTGGTTTTGACAAATTAGTAGGAAAAGTGAAACAGGCAAATGTGTGTTTTTGGAGTTTTACCTATTTTAGGCGCGGTATGAAAAAAATATGAGAGCGAAATTTTAAGATCACTCTGAAACAAAAGTAACACATTTGAACTGCCCGCTAAACCGTTTATTATATATGGCAGTTCTCAATAAATAATGTAGATGGCGCTTTCATAATTTTACCATTTTCATTATTCATATCCTTTTCCAGTCTTTTTATTATTTTATTATAATTATTATTTGCATTTCTATTGTTTCTTTAAAAAAAATTCTATTGTTCTTGTATAACTGATGTTACGCTTTCAGTCCTTAGACTATTAAAGCTTTATCGAACGCAGAACCGCAACAAGGCCGTTTATAAATACGTACTCTTTGAGTCTATTTAATATGAGCCGCTGGAAGAGCTTCCCCAGGCAATTAAGGAGGCTGATAGGTCGATAACTAGAGGTTCAAAGAAGTATAACTTCTCACGCGCGAACATAAGTATACGCACCCATTTTTTTATGTATTAATAATTGCGAGCCGCGCTAGGTGCGGTGAGCCATCAATGAAACCGTGCGATTGAATTAAATTGTTAGATACAATTTGTGCTCATCTTGGAAAAATATGCCCGTGAGACCTGTGCTGGCGAAGTATGTGAAATTTATGGAATTTAGGAAATTATTTTTTTGGTAAATTGATTGCAAAAGGATGCTCAGCACCCGAGTTAGATTTCATCACCATCAACAATTCAGTCGTAATAACTTAATGTCCGGGCGCTCGCTTTTAATACCCCTGATGGGTTCAACCTGAGTTAAAATTTGGGTTACCAATGAAATTGTCCTACATAAATTCAAAATAACAAAAAAAATATTTCGAATTGTGAAGTCGGCCAATCTACAGAAAAGTAGCGATAGTAGAGTAGTAGAGTATATTGTCAATGTCCTAATACCCTCGGTACACAGATGGCCTTTGCTCAGCAGCGGGACTTGGTATAGGCTTTTATTTTACTTTACTACTTTATATTATTTTAGCCTATTTGAGTGCACTGCCGAACATTGGCCTAGCCCACAGTCTGCCACGAAGGAGCCACCTGCATCCATCTTCTCCCCGCACATTTGCACAGGTCGTCACTCCATATAGTGGGCGGACGTCCCACACAACGATTGCCAATACGAGTCTTTCACTCGAGAACCTCTTCTTTCCCATCGATTATGGGCTCTGCAAGCCGACGGGTGGCCCATTGTTACTTCAGCTTACGAATCTTTTAAGCTATTTGAGTTACTTTTGTTCTACTGCATCACGCAGAGAAATACCAAGCAGGTCGCTCCATAGCTTACTAAATGACTCAGAGCTTTCGGCATATGAATATTTTGTCTGTTAGTGCGATATTAAACGTAGTGTGATAAAAAATATAAAAAGACTTTTTCATAGCACTTTAAGCAGAACATGCTGCCAGTACAGGGAACATCAAAAAACTCAAACACGCAGGCCGTGAGCTTTGTTACAGACCCCCGAAAAACATAGGTATTTTAAAAAACAACCCTGGGGAAATTCTTACTACGGTATTCAACTGCGGAAATGGCAAAAGCACTTCAGTGACGTATTTCATGCAGCTGATGACCAATTAAATTCCAAGACCAAGTAACGTATAAAGGTCCGTTTAACCTTTATATGCTACAATGCAAGATCTAAATGTTGACTGTGAGCTGTTTATTCTGTGCCAATAGAAGAAGAAAGCATTATAAACCCGACATCTGAGCAGTAATTCTATTAAGTCTCATGTTGAACATTTCAGACAGTGAGAGCTAGAAGCCCTCCTTCTATCATATTATCATCAAACTCCCAAAGAAAGGTGAACCAATTTGCTCTCAGAAGTGCTATTCAGGATACTTCTGAACGGACTGGCAAATGCAGTAGACAGCAAGCTGAGAGACGAGCATACTGATTACAGAGCAGGATCATCGAACAGAACAAGGTCAAATAACACTACACACTCAGTTATTGCATCAACAAACACCATAGTTCATCCTCGCCTTCGAGCACGACGAAACCAACACAACGCGTACACTAGATACACCCGCGTTCCAGGGCGGTTCTCACCACCCCCAGCCACCGACTAACCAAGCATAGTCAACGGCCATTAGGTTCACTGTCTGCACCGAACATTACCCGTAGGCGACATGCCATTATTAACGCACGCATGCGGCTCTACCCACTGAGGACGGCCTCAAACCCGTGGGTTCTGGCTAGCCCACCGGTTCTGCGTTCGATGAAGCTTAAATAATGTAAGGACTGAAAGCGTAACATCAGTTATACAAATACAACACCATCTCAGACGCCGCTCTTGGAGCTTATCCGCTACGGCACGGACCCCGAGACGGCCTTGAATTAATGCAGTGCGAGGTGTTAGCGTTAATCATCGATTGAATGTATTTGACCGGATTAAGTGGTCGAGTTTATGGCGCATCCTGGTGCGGAGTGGAATAACGGAAAATATCGCTAAAATAATCAGGCATCTTAACGAGAGATCTTCACGCAATGACAGCAGCACCAGGGCCAGCTATTCGATTCTATTCAAGTCTCTAAATTTACCCATATCAGTATCTGATATAAATTTCAATTTGCTAGGCCCACCCGTTCCTGAGAAAATCGGCGATGATTATTTACCATTTTTATTATGGAGGTATAATGGGTAGTTCGACTTTATTTATTTCATTAAAAAGATACTATTGATTTCCTAAAGTATTAAAATCTTTTAATTGCGCTTGGAGAAAATGTCATTTAACTAAAAAAATGAAGAAAATCCTTGTTTTTCTCTTAATATAATTTCCATTCAACTACTTAACACAACAACGTTTACGGTTTTACAATTTGAAAAATATTGAAACTGTGCTATGCAGTGATGACACAGCATGTTTAAGAAGTTTATCCCTTTAGTGGATCAACAGCAATGAATGGGAATCATGAAGTGCAGCCATACGTGTTTATTTTCATAAACAGCAACTTAACTGACGCTGATTCTTACGTCAAAATATTATGTGGCCTCATGGTTTTCTCTTTTCACAGAGTATTGACTCAGATTTTATTCTGATATACGACAATGCTCGTCGCCATCCAGTTTATTTGTTAAGAAAATGAAATGGGTTGGTAAATTAAAATAATTATATATTCATTCATTGTAAGTATTTATTGTTCATTTATAAAACAAGAACAGATCAATTGTTAAAAAAAAATAGCATCGCGTACATATAAAAAAATGTCGATGAAATCAAAGAATCCATTGATATGATCGAGGTCGATCATAACAAAGAATTTACTTCTTATAGTTTTTGTTCATTTCCTTCTTTAGCAAGGCGAGGCGGGTGAGGCAGGCATCACGCCACGCGCGTCTTTCTGGCAGGCGATCCAAAGGCACCATGGCATTCAATTGCTCACATATCGAGGTCGCACCCTTGCTCTGTGTCATCCTCGGTATTTCACCCATCGTTTGACTCACATGGTATATGGTTTCACCGTACCTATAAAAAGTTGACTTGTAAAAGTGAAAATTTTTTTAGTGTTGTTGAAAATTTCTGAATTATTCAAAAAATAGATAGGTTTACGCAGATTATTTGGACAATATAACTTATTCTAAACTCGCAACCCCGCAGATTTCGCTGAGTTCTATGTTTTGGAGAACATTATCGCAAAATTCATCATTCCATGTAACATACAAAATTCTTGTGTCACAGTTTTAGTATATATACTCCTCCGAAATGGCTTGACCAATTTTGATGAAATTTTATATTTATTATCAGTAGGTATGACAATAGGTTTATAACAAATTTTTATACTCCTAACTGATAAAAGTGGTCCAAACATTTTTTCTACCCTACAAATAATTTATACGGCAAAACGAGGTTTGCCGGGTCAGCTAGTCATAAATTTAAATAACTCGTCTCAACTTCTGTGACGTCATTGATTGCGCTGGCAGCGTACAAATTTTAGAGTGCAGATATTATGTGACATATTATATTTTTATAACACCGAAACTGCAGTTTTTTCCTTTGTAATGTGAAAAAAAATACACAATACGAGTACAAAAATTTCAAAAGAAAATCATTTTACCTTTCAATGTAGCTTTTCATTCCTTCAGCGTTTAAATGAGCAGTCTCAAGGGAGCCAAGAAACGCGTACCGCATGCCAAGACCCTCGGAGATAACTTTGTCCACGTCCTGAACGTCTACAACGCCTCCCTCGACTAAACGCCAAACTTCATTTAAAATGGCGTATCTGAAACATGTTATTTGATTTATTGTAGAAAGTGGCAAACAAGGGAATAAGAGACAACATTTTAACCCCACCGCGGTTCAGCGTTCAACGCTTCAACGTCAAGTAATTACCGACGCCCAAGGTTACCAACTTTTTAGCGAGTGGGCCAGTTACCTCATCCACTAGAAGAAAGGCACAACTAAAATACTTTTACATTTTGTCAAGCCATAGTTATTTGCCCCCTTTCTGCCCATTCGTGCTACAGCGGAAGTTGCTGCGTGACTATTACAGCAACAACATACCACAGCGTGTAAGTCGATATGAAAACGCAATTTTAAAAAGTACTGAGATGAAGAAACGATAATTAATTTTAATATTTTTTTTTATCTGAGAAGGTGGCAAGCGAGCTGAGGGTTCAAAGGATGTTAAGTGATAATCGGCGCCCATTGACTTTTGCAACGCCCGTACGGTTGCCCATGCGTTACCACCTTATAATAAAGTGGGCCCCGGCTACCTCACTCACGAAATGCGGTGTAACACTTTCACTTCACACCGTCTTCTGTGAGGTCGTGGTACTTAACCGGCCGGACCTGCCCATTCGTGCAATAGCGAAGACTATTGCGTGGCTCTACCACACTCAATGTCTAATATGTCACTACCCCTTTCAGTTTGTTACACATAAATAAATCAATAAACTTATATTTCATAACAAATGTCACTCACTGAATTCGATTTAGAACAAAACCATCGAGTTCTCTCGATAGTGAAACGGGTTCTTGACCAATCTCCAACATAATTTCTCGAGTTTTCTTCGCTACTTCAGGTTTCGTCCATGGTGCAGGTACGATTTCAACTAATGGCACATAATAAGGTGGGTTCACGGGGTGGGAGACGATAACCTACGATACAGAAATATTTCATGTTTATTGTAATAATGAATAAAATATAAATATTATTTTAAATCTATACGGTATTCGCATATATGTAAAACTCATAAAAGTGAGCATATCATTACCTTCGACCAACCATACATTGTTTTAATCTACATTTTTCATTTTGTCACTAATAATCAATTTGACTGCATGATTAGTTTAGTAAATTCCAATTGTTTACTTTCTTTACTCATCAAATAAATTAAATTGTGTGCTCTATACATCATTATTACGATTTTTCACGTTTGTGAAAGCACCCGCACAAAACGATTTATTTCATGTCTTTTTATTTTTAAATAATTATGCGAGTTGAAAGGTATATGTATTACATTACAGTATACTTATAGGATACAAACACGATACTTCACAATAGGTTGAAATATCAGTTCCTTTGCCCGTTATGTTAGTTTCTCGGAATACTGGGCCTCATTTATACCGCTTAGAATTGACAACCAATATTTAGGCACTTAGATCGATATATAGGTTCATATAGTACTTTTTTTTATATTACGACGAAAGAGACATCGCTGGTCATAAAACATATCTTATATATCGTGATTTTTTATTGCCATTACCTGTGATTTATGCTTCATCCCTTCGGAAAACAATGACGGCAAAGTGGTACTGGTCGAGCTTGATAGAATAGTATTATCATCCACGACACTGTCGAGATTTTGGAAAACTTTTCTTTTCAGGTCCAAATTTTCTGGTACACATTCCTGGACGAATATAGCATCTTTAACAGCGGAAGCTAAGTCTGACGACCCTATAATGACCAAGAAAATACATTGAATCAGCATATCTGCCTTGATTTTACATAATAAAGTTTTCAGTACGATATATGATAATTTTAAAAAGCCAAGATAAAAGAGTCATTTATCCGCGTCTATATTCAAATAATCTAGATTGACATTATGCTAATTTGGTGTAAGAAATGAACATACCTTTGATGCATTTAATTTGCTGGTCAGCATTGAGGGTTCCACGCAGAAGACCATCCTTTTCCAATGTCTTTAGTTGCACCTTGATGTCATCGAGCGCGTCTGTCACTTGTTGGGGCACGATATCAAAGACAGTTACTTGATATCCCACCGAAGCGAACAGCATCGCCCATGAACGTCCAATCAATCCACTAGAAAAAAATTGTCAAATAATTTATATCATTTAACTGTTGCTTTTGTACGATCCAAGTCTTCGTGAACTGGTGTGATGGTTCATGTAATATAAATTCATCTATTCTAATCCGTTGCCAGTGGGGCACATAAAGCTGCTCAGCAAGGCGGCGCTGACGGGCGCGCTTTGCGCTTTTATCGTCATAGAGGAGAAAACTGACGTGTTTTGTAGTGCTCTGAGTGAATTCACAAGTTGTAATGTGGATTAAATGTTACGATATTGGGTGTATTTAGTTTAAAGGAAATATATATTTATTAGATTAAAGTTAACTGAATGCTTCTTCAAGGGAGTTAGGATATTTTTTTCTTGTAATTAAAAAAAATATCTACTTTAACTTCCTTCCGGACACAATATTCCTATTAAATTACTTTAAATTATATAACTTGGCCCCAGCCATAGTAACATTTTGAGAGATTAAACTCTTAAAAGTACTCAAAAAGTAGTAAAGCTACTTTATCATAGTAGTAAAAGAAGGAAAAATAAGAAAAAGTAAAAACTATACAAGTCCCACTGCTGACCAAAGACTATACAAAAGGTATATAGAGCATAGTCTACCAGCAACACCACTGCGGATTTATTATTTCGAAAATACATAGGTTTTTAAAGATGTTTGCCTTCAACGCTGAGCACATGATAATATAGCACTTAAAATTGACAATTTAATTGGTGCTGGCACCGAGACTTGAACTCAGGTTGCTCGAGTATGTAAAATTTAAAGCGAGCACCTGGCCACTGAGCTATCACGGCTCTTCAGTATCATTGACCTTGATATATTTAACTAAATTTATAAATCAGTACATTTGTTAAATTTGTTCATATTATCTGTTAAATTAACCTTCCATCACCCCGAGATATTTCTATCTACCAATGTTATGTAAAGACGTCGTTAAAATTTTTGTTATTTATTTAGTAATACGAACAATACAACGTGTCGCGATTACTGGAATCGATCGTGATTACGCCTTGAGCGACATTTTTCAGAAAACTCTAATGGTGTTAAGTCAGCGTTAAAATTTCGTGATGACCCTTAAAAAATAAGCTCCAAAAAGTAAAATTGGGTGTGTGAATGATAAATAGATTTATAGGTTTTAGATCGAAATCACTCTTCATACATGCTTATAATCCGCAACTCTTAAATAACTATTTCTTATATCTATTTTCCAAACCCCGTCCCTTTCTATGAACGTGGTTTGGAAAAAAGTACGAAAAATTCATAACACCAAGTTAATCAATTTAATTATATGCGAACTGACACTTCGGTATTTTCCTACACATAGATTGCATTGTATTTAAAATACATTCCATACCTAATATGGCATAAAATTTAATCAAACAACAAACCTATGTGGCAACAATACGGAAAGTTATGTTGGTAAAGACCTCCGTTTTCTTGAATTTACTAAACATTTAAATTATACTAATAATGATTTACTATGATCTTAATTACTAAATGAACGTTAAAAAAAATTAACTCGTCGTGTTTTTTTTTATCATATTGTGTTTTAAAAAATTTTGATGAATGAAGTTAAATTTAAATGAAAAGTTTATGATTTTTTTTGTTCTAATCTTTTTACCCTTTTTTTATTTTTTATTTTAAGTGGGGAAGTTATTAACGCTTCGGAAGTTATTACGCTATACGTAAATTTACAATGTACAAATCACGATTAAGAGGAAACATTGTTTTAAAACATTTTTTAAAAGCGGAATATGATTATGAAAGTAGCTAAATGTCAACTACTTAGATATTGTGATTACTATAAAACCTATCTTCTTGACCTACTTTATTCTATTTTATTAATAAACTATTCATTTGTATTTACTTATAGAAATGTTTTACGAATCAAAACAATGTATTCAGTACCAAATGAATTGTTTTATTCATTAACAAGGCAAAATAAAAATGCTTACCTCCCAACAATCCCAACCTTTTCTTTCTTAGTCGACATATTCGAGACTTCGTGAACACTACCTTTCAACTGCAGGTCGAGCGCAGAATGATCATTGAATGTCAGTCTTCGCGCGACTATAACAAGTGAAGCCAAACGTTATTATCTCTATGAACACTACATACATATAGAGCATCTATAAAACAGATTACTTAAGACAACAATGTTTTCACAACAAAATATGGAGATATTGGAAACAATTAATGAATTAAGGCACAATTATGTTAAAACATAATTATGTTGACTGTGCAATGCATCTTATTTTTTGCACCAAATTTTGTTTAGTGTTATTGTGTGTTTAATTAAACAAGTCAAGGCTAATGCAATAGCTAAGAATGTCGTCTTGGATCAATGGTTTTTGTTCAAATATTCCAAATTGGCCTTAAAGAAGAAGAAGGTGTGCTCAGCAAGGCGAGACAATACTTCACGTCGGCTCAACGCCTTAACATCTATAAGGCGCAAATTCGGCCCCACATGGAGTACTGTTCTTATCTCTGGGCGAGAGCCCCCTATTACCAGCTTCTTACATTTGACCGCATTCAACGTCGAGCGGCTAGGGTTGTCGACGACCAAAGTCTTTCCAATCGGCTTGATCCTTTGGCTCTGCATAGAGATGTTGGATCACTTTGCATATTCTACCGCATTTATCACGGGGAGTGTTCCGAGGAATTGTTTGGATTGATCCCGGTGGCTGATTTCACCATCGAGCATCGCGCCAAAACCAAAAATTTCATCCACACCACCTCGGTGTCCAGCATTCCACCACAGGCGCAATTCTCAAGGCATTCTTGCACAATTTCTGTGGATCAACTACGGGCGACGGTCTTTCCGAACCGAGAAAATCGGAGAAAATATTTAAGGAGATCGGGTCCGATTCATGTCACTAAAAAAGAACATGCTGGTAGTACAGGCAACACCAAAGAGCTCTATCACTCATGAGCTTTGTCACAGAGGCCCAAAAACATGGGTATAAAAACAACACTAGGTAAATTTTTACTACGATAGAAAAACAACTGCAGAGATGGCAGTAGCACTTCAGTAACATATTTCGCTACAACATACAGCATCTGAATGTTAACTGTGAACTGTTTACTATGTGATAATATCCCTGTAGAAGCAGAAATGCTATTGTGTAGAACGTACATTGTGTAGAATAACGTTCTGTAGAAACAAAGAACGATGTACGTTTAGACACGGTTTTTTTGTACTGACTAGAATAGGCTTACTAATGTCATAGACGAATGTAAAATACTCTAAGTATAAGAGTCAAATATGTATATAAGATAATTATTGCAATAATAATTTTGATCTCGGATTAGCAAGAAAACGATATTCGTAATCTTGTGACTTTACTTTTGACATATAACTATTAGTCATATAGGTAATTATTTAAAATTTTGACTGATTAAATAAGTAATAATATTAAAAAAACCTGCGGTTCATGTTTAACTGTTAAAATAACAAGAAATAAAATTTATAAATTTAAATTGTTTATAGTGCTAATCTTTGCACTTAAGATTGAACATTAAAATATGTAGAAAAAGTACGACATCAAAGAGCGACATCTCTCGTTCGAACTATCGTTGTAAAACGATATTCGAAATTGTTCGTATGCTGGAAAGGATGGATGCGTCAAGAATTGCTTCAAATGCTAAAACAAAAAACAATAAAGATAAAACACGTTAAGATTTTCGTCGGTGTGGCAATCAGCCGTTTAGCTTAGTGGTTAAAGCGTCAGGCCGCGAATGCCGAACACGTGGGTTCGATTCGTGGTGACAATCTTTTCCTACTCTTTCTAAATATTTAAAAAAAATATTTCAAAAATTACAATTTTTTTAATGAAGTATCACAGTCACCCACTTTTTATGGTCTTTTCGTAGAAAATAGTGCTGATCAAAAAATATACTGGTCGTTTATATACCTAATCATATATAATTTGAACCGGCCCTCCTGAACAATCATAATTTTGCAGATGTCACGTTGTTCTACGCAGGGTGCAATTTAGACTTTTGAGGAACATTTGGGAAAGCGACAGCTGGATTGCTCTGGTCGGTATGCTTAAATTGGATGAGGATAAACCTGTTTTTTTATTTGAGAATGTGGCAAACGAGTGGTTCACCTGATGTTAAGTGATAACCGCCGCCCACGGACATTTGCAACACCGGTGGCAGATCTGTTGCCACCTTTTAATAATGTGGGCCGCGGCTACGTCACTTACCAGACGAAACGCAGAAGTGTAACACTTCTACTTTACGCCGGTCTTCTGTGAGGTTATGGTTAGGTTAACAGCGAATACTGTTGCGTGGTCCTACCACCTTAAAAACGAAAAAAATACGGTACGGTGTTACGGAATTGCTCTAAAGTGCATAGCAAGATACTACTGAACTGGCTGGCAAATGCAGTAGACAGCAAGGAGGGAGGCGAGCAAGCTGGTATCAGGACACGACGCTCGTGTACCAACCAGATAGATCTTTTTCGCATGATCATCGAGAGTAAGAAGTTGCAGTAGAGGTGTTTCCGATATTCGTGCAAATGTATTCGTGCGCATCTTGGTTCAAGGAGGAATACCAGAAAAGATCGCGTAGGACACCCCGGGTGCAGGTAGGCTCTTTCTAAGACATAGATTTTGCTGATGACCTCTGTCTTCTTTCAACCAAACGTTCTCCAGGCAAAAACCGACGACCTAGTCAAAGAAGCCGATTAGTCAAATTGATCAAAGAAGCTCGATTAATCAAAGAAGCCGATAGATAAAGAAGGTCTCCACATAAACTGTACTAAGATAAAGATATGCGCTTTAATTCAAGAAAACGACATTCGGTTTAAAGAAATGTTTATTTTCTCAAAAGAATGTTGCAATATTAACTATGATAAATATAATTTAAAAGTGTGGATAATCGGATACATGGGTTAACTTTGCATTAAAACATATACAGTAATTTTGTGTGATAACCGAAAAAAGTACCGTCGAGTCGAGATATTAGTTGATGGTGCTTAAACTTTTCTGATGCATGTATTTTGCAAATTCAGCAATTTTTCCTGCTACAATCACACCCAGTTTTCGCTAAGCTTTAAGTTAAGAGCAATTTTGAAAGTTTAAAGTACTTTTGGTAGTTATATTGAAGCCAAAAGGTGGTTCCTTACATTTCATCATCTATGCGATATGAAGACGATAATTCCTTTTTTATCAATAGGGCACCATTGCAGCAGCATACCACTGTAAATGAACTCGAGTTGCAATTCGAGTTCAATTCTTGTAAGTATGTATTCTGAATACGATCTCCAGATTTATATGTAGTAAGAAAATATTACACTAACAAAGTAGGGCACTGAACTAAACTGCTTTAAAAACATATATTTATTACTTCGAAAACTAAATATGTGTTCGATTAAAAGAGACAGATATTTAACTCATAAATAACAATATCTCTTGAACATAACATGAAGCTATATTTTATATTCTAAGAAACGTTAACGAAATATAATTTGAAAATAATTAATAACAAGAAGTTCCAGTTAAGAATATACCATGGAAGCAAATATTTAATGTTTTATATTTTATTTATTTGTTTAGAAAAGGAAATGTTTAAGTGAAAATAATTACATATTGGTTCATATAAGTATGACTGTCATTTATAAAGCAAGAACAGACCAATCGTGCGAAAAACAAATTCGCATCGGGTAAGGATCTAGATGTTCATTTCTTATAGTTTTTATTCATATCCCTCTTTAACAAGGCAAGGCGGATGAGGCATGCATCACGGTAGGCGATCCAAAGGCACCATGGCATTCAATTGCTCGCATATCGTAGTGGCACTCTTGCTCTGAGTCATCCTCGGTGTTTCACCCATTGTTTGACTCAAATGGTATATGGTTTCACCGTACCTGTAAAATAGTTGACTTCTCAGAAAATTTCTAAAGTATTCAAAAAATATAGATGGACGACCCGATTGACGTAGTGTGCCAGAGGGTGTGGATTCGATACCAACTACTGGTAAAATATTGTGTGATGAACATAGTGTTTTTCTAGTGCCTGGGTGTTTGTTTAAAATTATGTTTATTTATTTTTTATTTATTTAAAAACTTTATGCACAATAACGTACAATGGCGGACTTAACACCATTAGGTGTTCTCTACCAGTCAACCGACAAATAAGCAGAGAGAATATGGAGGTGCGAAAGAGCCAGATGAGATAGTAAAGAACATGATAATTTATAAAATATTACGTACATGTTACATAAATATAAACGTATATATACAAATATATATCAAATATATCAAATTTTCGAAGTCCAAATATGAACCTTATACAATTATTGAGGAGTTGGTCAAGCTTATTAAGAAGATCCTGATTTGCATCCGAGTAACAAACATCAGCATAATCAATTATCAGCAGCGCCAACGTCTGTACCAGCAACAGTTTAGTGCACGAGGGACAAAAAACTTATAGCGGAATAGACTTATTTGTGTATTATTCACCGTACAGCAAATACTTGTAACGTGAGATGTCCGCCATAAGCTGTTGTCAATAATTAGCCCTAAATTTTAACTTGTGGTGAGAAAGGTATACTTGTGCCATTAAAGACAACAGGTGAAATAAGCTTGTGGTCTAGTGAATCTATCCGATGAGAACTGCCAATAATAAAAGCCTGACACTTAGATGGATTTACAGCGACGCCAAACCTGTTAGACCAGTCCCAAATCTGGTCCAGGTAAAAGGTAATGGCTGCAAAGCATTAGAAAAATCAATTAAAACTAAGATTGTAAGTTTAGCATCTTCCATTTCATTCTTGACATCGTCCACAATTTTCAACAGTACAGTATTAGTGCTATGGCCAACTCGGAAGCCGGATTGAAACTTGATTAAAATATTATTCTTGTGGACGAAATCAGAAAGTTGTTTATGGACGATAGCTTCAATAATTCTGGATAGATAGGGAAGAATACTAGTGGTTACACTACTGGTTTGCTTAGTTTGGGACTAGAGAACGTAGAGGTTTATGTAGCTTATTTCGATAGTTTATTAATGATCATTATTCAACATTATCAATACTCGTTAAGCTAGGGAATATTTTGCAGTATTTCATCGCAAAATTCATAATTCCATAACACATAACTTGTCTCAACATTTGTGACGTCATTGACCGCGCTGGCAGCGTACAAGTTTTAGAGTGCGAGGCTTCTATATTAGATACTCTATTATGTATCCCGGCTTCAAAACCATACGTTGGCGGAAAGGAATGTGGGAAGGAAGAGGAACAAAAAACCAGAACTAAAATAAATGCGGAAGGCCCTCGAAACATAAACTTAAAATACAATATACAAAATAATGTTAATATCGTTCGTTAAATAAGCTATTATCTAAAGATATTTTTATGTAATGTAAATAGATAAAATAAAAAAACTATTTTAGGAAAATGAGTTCATTGTCCGGGCGCTCGCTTTAAATTCCATATACCCGAGCAACCTGAGTTCGATCCGCGGTGCCGGCACCAAAGAGATTGTTAATTTTAAGTGCTGAATATGGTGCCGGCACCAATGAAGTTTTTAACTTTAAGTGCTGACTTATCACGTGCTCAACTGTGAAGGAAAACATCGTGAGGATACCTGCATGTTTTCGAAATAATAAAAAAATATTTCGAAGACATCACACTATGCCATTCGGGTCGTCGATATCATGCAATTATATTTATAAGCATGATAGTTGGATTATTTTATAAGGCGAAATTTAAGTACCTACATATCTCTTGTTGTGTTAATTTTACCCCAATACCTTTTTAAGAATCTGCTTAGACTCAGTATAACATAAACCCTACACAAAGTATGTTATCTAGGTAAATAGCTGACTAGCTCTTAAGCACTGACAGGGGTAGCCCTGTCAGTGCTTAAGAGCTGTATGTATGTCCCGATATGCATTACGTAATTTTCTTAAAGGAACCTAACCAAAGACACGCAGAACAGATTCGTAAACTCTTCCATTTATTCCTATCTACTTGTTGAATTGAACCGGAACGTCATCGGCGCAGGCCCTGGAAGTAACGATCTCCACTTTTTTGTTTTACAACAACCTACCGGGGAAGGCTTGCACTTCTGTTTTTCTCTAATTATATATTTATTTATTTACCCTTTATGCACACATAGTACAATGGCGGAATTAATGATAAAAGCATTATCTCCCAGTCAACCTTTAGGTGGTACAGAGAAAATTAGGTAGGTGCACAGAGAGATATCCAACAAGGAAAACGCTAATATTTACAAACTATGTAATGTAGATGCATATGTTAAATACAGTACTAAATTATATACAACATAAGAAAAACTACAAAATTATACCTATAAAAGCGTAACGTAAAGTTCATTTGTAAAGGTCACAAAGCATATGAATGGGTTGAATGAATTTAAAAGAGACAAAACATACTGTTAGAAGGAGAGGCTTGTAATACGACGCTGTGGCGCGAGTTGTATAGGATGTTACAATTTTTTTTTTCTTTTTTACTTAATTAGTTTGTTTGAAAAATATTTTTTTTAATTATGGATTTTTTTAACGTTTATATTTTTTTATGATTATTGGCAAGTAGCGTTAGACGTGTGTTCATTTATTGTCGCGATGGTAACGACACGCTGTATATATATAAATATATATATATATAAATACAAACATACTGTATACTCGAAAAGGCTACGCAGTATTTACACAATTAATACCAACCGAGCAAAGCTCGGTCCTCCAGGTACTTAAACTAAGACGATTATTGTGATTTTTTTATTTTCGTCATTTAACCTACGTAACATAATAAGATCTTTTTTTAACAATCCGTTTTCGTGCTGATCAGGCCTCTCATTTGGAATGCTTAGACATTTTCTTTCCTGCCATTGTTCACCATGGGTAATGGTTGTATACCATTACCCATAACATTTTGCTAAAACATAGAAAGAAACTAAACAACAATGAATACTGCTGTTATCTAAAAAATTGGTTAAACGATATTTATATGCATTTAATTACATATGTAATCCACCTAAATTGTGTAACACATTTCAAAGATTATTTTACCTTTCAATGCAGCTTTTCATTCCATCGGCGTTTAAATGAGCAGTCTCAAGGGGGCCAAGGAACGCGTACCGCATGCCAAGGCCCTCGGAGATAACTTTGTCCACATCCTGAACGTCTACAACTCCTGCCTCGACTAAACGCCAAACTTCATTAAAGATGGCGCATCTGAAACATGTTATTTTGTTTATTGTAGTAGTGTACAAGGGAATGTAGAGATTTAGTTTTAACCTCTGCTTGTTTTCCACCGCAGGTGTCAGAATTCAACGGTTCACCTTTAAGTAATAACCGCCGCCCAAGGTGGCGATCTTTTTAACGAGTGGGCCTCGGTCACCTCATTCACTAGAGGAAAGGTAAATGTACAATACTTCTACTATACGTCAGCCTTCTGTGAGGCCGTAGTTATTCGCAGCCATTCGTGCGACAGCAGAAATTGCTGCGTTGTATCTATCACAGCAAAAACCAAGCTTCTTGTATCTTGTATTAACTAATGTTTTTGCTTTCAGTCTCGAGACTATTAAAGCTTCATCTGACGCAGAACCGGTGGGCTAGCCAGAATCCACGGGTTTGGGCCCTCCGCTGTGGGTAGGACCGCGCATGTGCTCATGCGTGCGTTTAACTACGACATATCATCTAAGCCATCGAAGTTGCGGTGCGGACCGAGATCCCGGTGGCCGTCGACTGTGTTTTTAGCTAATCGGTGGCTGGGGGCGGTGAGAACCGCCCTGGAACGCAGGTGTACCTTGTGTACGCGTTGTGTTGGTCTCGCCGTGCTCGGAGGCGAGGACGAACTATTTTGTTTGTTGTTACACTAGCTGTGGGTTTAGTGTTATCCGGCGGGTAAAAACCAAGCACAACGCGTAAATCGATATTCTTCAGTTTTTAAAGCAATAGCAATTTTAAAAAGTACCATTATGAAGAAACGTTATTTAATTTTAATAAAATATTAATGTCACTACCTCTTTCATTTTGTTACACATAAATAAATCAATTACATTATATACCATGACAAATTTTACTCACTGAATTCGGTTTAGGACAAAACCATCAATTTCTCTCGATAGTGACACGGGTTCTTTACCAATCTCCAACATAATTTCTCGAGTTTTCTTCGCTATTTCAGGTTTCGTCCATGGCGCAGGTACGATTTCAATTAATGGCACATAATAAGGTGGGTTCACGGGGTGGGCGACGATGACCTACGATACAAAAGCTTTTCATGTTGATTGTAATAATGAAAATTTATAAATGTCTGTTACTTGTATTTTTTTATGTGAAAAGTTGCCAAAGGTTCACCTGATGTTAAGTGAATACCGCCGCCCGAGGGGTTCCAGATGCGTTGACTACCTTTTGAAAATTGGGCTCCGGCCACCTCACTCACAGACGAAACGCGAAAGTATTATACTTTCACTTTACACCGGTCTTCTGTGAGGTCGTGGTACTTACCCGGACTAGCCTGCCCATTCGTGCAACAGCCGAGGCTGTTGCGTGGCCCTACTTGTACATCCGCTTCCGCATCTGTGCATACTTTCGCATATATGTAAAACTCATAAATATATTAGTAAGTATTTCAATTAATGAACATGTTCTTATTTTCTACCAACCAAGTATTGTTTTAACCTACATCATTCATTTTCTAAGCAATAATCAATTTGACGGCACGGTTGGTTCAGTAGTGGTTCCAAATGTTTAATTTACGTTAAGAAACAAATTTGTGTGCTCCATACATCGTTACGAGTTCGAATACACCTCGTGTCCGTGATTTTTCATTTTTGTGAAAGCACCCGCGAAACGATATATTTTATAGCGCATACTTTAAAATACGCGTGTTGAAACGTTAATTACATTACAGTGTAATATACACACTACTTTAATTAAAAGTATAATTTACTTTTAAATAAAACAAAACATAATACATTTCCTATGTGACAATAGGTAGAAATATCAGTTCCATTGAGGGGTAAGATATCACAAGCCACATAACACATCGTTTGTATACATGATTGTATGTTGCCATTACCTGTGCTTTATGCTTCATTCCTTCGGAAAGTAATGACGGCAAAATGGTACTGGTTGAGCTAGATAGAATAGTCTTATCATCCACGACATTGTCAAGATTTTGGAAAACTTTTCTTTTTAGGTCCAAATTTTCTGGTACACATTCCTGGACGAAAATAGCATCTTTAACAGCGGAAGCTAAGTCTGATGATCCTATAGTAAAGAAGAAAATACATTGAATCTAACATATCTACCTTGATTTTACTATAATAAGGTTATATAAGGATATGATTGTTATGCACACCTTTGATGCACTTAATTTGCTGGTCAGAATTTAGAGTTCCACGCAGAAGACCGTCCTTTTCCAATGTCTTTAGTTGCACCTTGATGTCTTCAAGCGCGTCTGTCACTTGTTGGGGCACGATATCAAACACAGTTACTTGATATCCCACGGAAGCGAACAGCATTGCCCATGAACGTCCAATCAAACCGCTAGAAAATCATTGCCAAATAATTCATATAATTTAATTACTATTTTTGTACAAAACAAGTCTTCCTGAAGAAATTGTGACGGTTTATAGATTTGTGATAAAAACATCTGTTAACAGTATCACAGTACACACATCTGTGTACAAGCAAAACTACGGTATCGTTGACATTTAATTTTACATTTAACTGAATTCATATACAGCGTGTCGCTACTAACGTGACCATAAATCAATACACATTTACAGGACAGCTTATTAAAATTGTATTAATCATTTACCGAGTTATTAAATTTTCCAAAACAAACAATTTTAGAACACCCTTACGTATAAAACTGTAACGTAAAGTTCATTTGCAAAGCATATGAATGGTTTGAATGAATTTGAAAGGGATACATACTTTGAGAAGGAGAGATTTGTAATGCAACGCTTCGGCAACGAATGAAAAAGTGCCTGAATGTATGAATCAGTCAGCTGTAGTTGTATAGGTGTTAAAAATTTTATTTCTTTTTTATTTAATTAGTTTGTTTGAAATATTTTTTTAATCATGGATTTTTTAACGTTTTATATTTTTTATGCTTATTGGCAAGTAGCGTTAGACGTGTGTTCATTTATTGTCGCGGTTGTAACGACACGCTGTATAAGTATTAAGTACGTTTGTTCAACTTGTTCATATTGTATGTTAAATAAACTTTCAATCACCAAGAGATAATTCTATCTACCAATGTTATGTAAATACGTCGTTAAAATTTATTTAGTAACAAATAAAAGTAATTAATGCAGTTTCTGGAATCGATATCATTACGCCTTGAGCGACATAGTTCAAAAAATGGTGTCAAATCAGCTCTAAAATTGAAAAGTGTCCGTATATATATATGACGGCGACTCTGAAAAAAAATCTGTGACGGACAGATGACACCGGCACCAAGTCGTGCGTAGCTTGTTAATAGCACGTGCACCAATGATGTCATCGCTCGCTTGTCTAACTCTCCCCTTCATCACCATAGATAAGTCAACCGTTGGGTAGGACATTCGTGCTCTTCGATGGTTGCCCATTGTACTCGTTGGAGTTCGATAGTTTAAAATGAGTGTCAGACACCGAGACACCGACATCAGGATGTGACCATACGCTTCCACAAGAACGTGGATTACGTTCTTGTGGAAGCGGATGGTACAGTTTTATGGCGTTCGTGCATGAACGGAACATCGGTTGTGCAAGGACTACATTTTCCAAAATTCGACCAAGAATCTCGACGTTGGGTTATTACGATAAAGGTGTGTGCTTACTTATATTCGAGCTTTGGTAAGATATATCAGTTTCTACTTTTATAATTATGGAGCTCAGTGTCCGCTTGAGATCATATTATTATTAATCTCGAACAACAATACTGAGGTCATTCATAAACAGTTATCATCATTCATCAATTCAGCCTGTTTCAGTCCACTGCTGAACATAGGCCTCCCCCAAAGACTGCCACACCTTCATCCATCGATTTCCCGCACATTTGGACAGGTCACCACTCCAAGTGGGGATTCGTCCCACACTGCGATGCCCAGTTCGAGGCTGCCACTCGAGAACCTTTCTTCCCCAACGGTTATCAGTTCTACAAGCTATATGGCTGGTCCATCGTCACTACAGCGTACTAACCTTCTGAGCTATCATAATAATAATTCTTTATTTCAGGCAAAAGACAATAGTAATTATCGACAAAAATTCTAATTGATAATTAAAACAAAATTATAAAATAAATAACAACAATTTGGAATTGAATTGACACATTAAGAAAAAAAATAGATTCAAACATTACACAAACAATTAATTACATATAAAACACATAATTTTTTACTTATCTACATATATGTATACTATTTTCACTACTTATTCTAACAGCTGATACTACAATTAAAAAATAAAAGTAACCAACATTTTAAAATATAACTTAAATAGAATAGAATTAATAATAGAATAATCGAAATATACAAAAAGAAACCAAACATAATTATTTTATCGCTAAAAAAAACTATCTTCTAAAACCAATAGACCGTTCCATCCAGAATTTTTGAATAGGGCAGTCCATCCGATCGAAAATCATCTCCAGGATATTATTGGTACTGCCACGGAGTCATAGAAATCGTCCGTTCTTGCTTCCGCGAACACACCAGAGGCACTGTAGACACGGGGCAGCCCCAGCAGAATTCTGAGGGCATTATTATACAGAACACGCAGGGCGTTATAGGGGCGCTGCGTATAATTAACCCACAGGCCGCTCGAGTAAAATGATTGGCAGTACGTTTTAAAAAGCAAAATGTTTACTTCTTTGGAACATCGAGCGAACCAGCGTGCTAATAAGTTGCTCCTCACCGCCAGCGCCATGCGTTCACGTTGAATATCGTTATCATCTTTAAGGTCCTCCTTAATGATGTGCCCAAGCTATTTAAAGCGGTCTACTAGTCTTAGGGCAGATCCGTTGAGAATAACTGGAGGTGGATTGGGAGGTCTATATTTTCCAGCTTTAAATATTACATTTCACTCTTTGTACAGTTGTGTTTTAAGCCATGTTTTTCCGCATATTTTTCACAGATAAACAACAATTTTCTTAGACCACTGATCGAAGGATTCAGCAGTACCAGGTCATCGGCATAACTAAAGTTATTTACACAAATTCCATCAATATAACATCCAACATGCATACTACTGAGTTCCTCTATCAGGTCGCCAGCACTACGGCCACACGGCCAACAATTGCTTCGCTCACCCAAGGTGCGTCAAATGCACCGGTGACCATGGGACTCCCGAGTGCACGCGGCCGAAAGATTGCGCAGATCCACCGGACTGCGTAAACTGCCACGCTACCAGCCACCCAGCTAGTTATAGAGGCTGCGCTAAGGCCCCGAAAACGCCTATCAACGCTAAGCCCGCCTATCAAACGGCGCTGAGGCCGCAGGTGCAATTAACACCGTTGGTTTTCGCGGAAAACAAGGACGAACCGTTCGCCTAAATTGCCAACATCTGCGGCTTATTAGACCGCATCAATAGAACTCGCCGTATTGTCCGCTAAAATAGCGGCCGCCACATCTGGCACCGAGCGATTTAAAGCCATTAGCGAACATAAAATGCTTTTAGAAGCCATTTTGGGCATTTACAAGCCAACCATGAACATAAATAGTCCGTGCAATAAAACCGCGCTCCGTTAGTTAGAAATCATAAAAAACTTTAATGGGAAGTACAACCGCAGTTAGAACAAAACCTCAGGCTCTGGTTGTTTCGTATTTCAACGCAAACGGCATTAAGGCTCAAAGGGACGAAATCGCAGAATTCCTTCGAGATTATTATGTAGATATTTTTCTAGTGCACGAGACCTTCTTAAAACCTAGTCTTCGCGATCCCAGAATCGCAAACTACAACATAGTCCGCCACGACCGGTTAGCAAACCGTCTGGGAGGCACCTTAATTTATTACGAACGGTCCTTGCACTGTAGCCCGCTCGACACTCCAGAGCTAAGCCATATAGAGGCATCCGCGTGTAGTCTAGCGCTCACCGGCCATAGACCGCTTGTACTAGTCTCAGCCTACCTCTCCCCTCCGACCGGGTTCCCGCCTTGACGTGGCGGAGAGGCTTAGTAGCCGTGGCTTGGTCCCCCACGGCGAAGCTAAGAGGAACCCACACTGGGCCGGCCTGTGGTGCAAGGCCGGCCCGAGAGGGCTGCTCCGAGTGGGCTCATTGAGCCCACTCTTGATGCGTGCTTGAGGCTGCAGGTGACAGGTCGAGGGTGGTAGAGGTGGAGCCACTCTCCCTGTCTCCTGCAACCGAGGAGGAGTTGCGGGGGGAGAGGAGTGTCGGTATTGCCGTTCTCCCTATCCTCCGCAGTCGAAACGTGGTGAGCGGAGGAGCCACAGACCAGGTCCACTACTGGGGGCTGGGAGGCTTGCTGCTTATTAGCACTGGCTCTCCTGGCTCCCATGGCCCCAGTCAGCGAACTCGGGGGAGTTCGTTGGCCGTGAAAATGGGCCAAGTAGGAAGGCGCACTGAATGTTCCAGCGCGCCTTACCTGGAGGAGAGGGGAGTTGCTCCCCGTGAGAGGGCTGCTAAGGCGGCCAGCGCTGGCAGGGTCGCGGAAGTGTGCGAAAGCGTTCCCGTGACCCTGCCGATATGCGCCTAGGCGTAACATCGTGGGGGTTTTAGTCGGTGCGAGTCCGACATAACCCACTCTTGCCCCCGCGAGGGCGAGTATGCGTAGGCATTTACCCCACGTCAACAAAAAAAAAAGTCTCAGACTACCTTTCGGGGAACAAAACCTTATTACTAAGCGACCTAGATAAGCTACTCAACTTAGGCCCTTCTTTGATAATTGCAGGAGATCTAAACTGCAAATACGGCTCATGGGACATCCACAGCATCCCAAATAACAACGGACAGCATCTCTTTACCTTATCCGATAATTTAAACTTTTGCATAATCACTCTTGCGACTCCCACTAGGTATCCTACGGTGGACAACTACCAACACGCGACACCGAGTATCCTAGATATCATGTTATTCAAGGAGGTCTCGCTCGATATCGAGTCGATGTACACAATCCACGAACTAGATGCAGATCACAGGCCCGTCCTGTGTAAACTGGGCCAGAACGCCGGCGCGGTCCCTTCGACCAAATCCGTAGTGGACTGGCATCGTCTTGAGGTCAAACTCAAGGCCTTGGACTCTCAGAACTTAGCCGACCTACCCGAGACGATAGCTACGTTCGATGACGCAAATCGAGCGATAGCGAGTCTCCACGAAACTATTACTTCCGCAGTCGCAGACTCGTAACGGACGGTGAAACTGTCGGGCGACCGACGGTTTAACTTTCCGCCCGACCTGCGACTGCTAATTAGACAGAAAAATGCAGCCAAACGCGCCTTCGACCGATACCGATCGGAATCGAACCGAACCCTACTTCGACGCCTTCAGCTAGAAGTCAAAGATCGTGTATCGGAACAC